CGTCGCGCCGACGCGACACGGTGTAAAAAAAAAATTAACAAAATTCGAAATGTCATCGGCTAACAAGGAGTGCCACCTACGCGCTGGAAAATGCCCGCAAAATAAAATATCGAACAACCGTGTAAAATAGTACGAGAAGAAAAGCGGGAAATGCAACCAGAGAGGGGAGAAATTATTATCTGGATGAAAATTTTCAATAACGGAGAATCTAATATTTATCCGTTACTTGTTAAATTCGCGACGGGGCATAGTGAACCCTTGCAGGTGACGAAGATGAAGTCGAAGTGACCAGGTCGAGCGTCGAAAGGGCCCAAGTTTCCTTTCATACAAAGTAATTAACTACCGGGAACCGCTGACAGCCACCTAACCCTCTCTCGTGCACCGAACCACCCTTCGCTCTGTGCTCGTCTCGTTTTCTTAAACCGTCCACCCCATTTCGCCCTGGTATTTATTTTTCAAGCAGACGCTTGTTCCTCCGGAGTTTACGCAATTTAAACTTTAATTTGAAACGGCTGTACTCGAATGTACTATAACGTAAGAAATTGAAAAAGAAGGAAGTTACCTCCACGGTCGGGGTAATGGCTGAAAAGAGAATCTTGCTCGTACAATTTTCTTTCAATTTGTAGCCAGGGTTTTCTTACTCTTGGGTAGTAACCGCGGTACACTTTTATTTATGCCATCGAATCCTAGTATTTAAAAGGATTCTGTATTTTTCTTCGATCCAAGAGAAACGTACCGACTTTCCAGCGTATTTCGTGCTGATCGAAACTGTGCAGCGGAACCGTAATTCGCGATTACATTCGTACATTCTCTCGATCAATTGAATTGACACGTCTGTGTTCAACTTTACAATGTATCTTAAGAATATTCCCATCAAACAAACTCTAACTTTTAAATAAAGTGGCCAGAGATCGTCGATTTTTTTGAGGATTAAATATTAATATTCATATTTGAAAAGTAATATGGAGACAACTGTTTCTTGTGCAAACACGACATACACGATACCGTTGAAAAACATCAAATAGAATAATAAAGGGTTACAAAAGGGAAACATTACTCAGCTTTTACGAGCTGAACAAAATATTTACCTTCCGCATAACGTTTTCGACTGAATATCTGGTGCAAATAAATTCAAAATAAATTTCGCAAAATAAATAAACACGTGACGTAAAGAGGAACAAGAAATAACAGAACGTCAAAATAGATTGACGAATGTTGGAAAAAGTAATCACGAATCCGTGTAAAGCAAACTTTTACATATATGTGTGTTATTATTTGCTTGTTCTTCGATGAAATTTTGTTTGTGAATCGATATTTGTTAATCTCTTATAAATTGAAAATTTATTGTAAAATTCAAGTTTCCATCTCGCGTTTTCGTTGTGTACTAAAAGGAATATTCCTTGCAACGTTTTTACTAGTTTTATCAAAATTCACAGGGTACGTTGAAAAAGTCTACCTTCCTGATTTTGCTCATACCACTAGATAGAATCGTCCAGTATGAAATGTAACCGACTCATGCCGTCAAATACGAAAGTTCACGTAAATGCCACCGCAGTGAACCCGTTAACAATGCAGTTACATCGATAATATTTTCCGTTTCGCCCCTCGTCCCGTTCGCGACACGGTTTTCAGTATTCGCGAAACGATAAAGACTCCAGAGGGTACTTAGCACGAATCAACAATTTTGCAGCGCATTTGTTTACACGAACGCGGCCCCGTCTCTCTCTATCCCTCTCTCTGGTAATATCAGGCACTGCGTGGACGTCAAATAAAAGCTCGGTCCATGAATTATTTTGCCGGCTAATTTCCCCGGTGGCGCATTGCTTGGACGCTGGCCTGAGGGACGCGCGCCGACTGTTTGGACACCCGCATCAAGCTGACTTTATCAGAGTTAGGCTTGACAATGGCTATATAAAACTGTTAATCATGATTAAAGTTATAACGCCGCGCTGAAACGAGCCAGAAACAGCTGCTGAAACACCGTTACGGACCAAAAATACAACCGGAACGCGTACAGACGTGGGCACGTTGAATCGAGAACGTGCGTTCCGAATACGTTTTCGACGGTGTTCGCAATTAACTCTCTGATTAAGTGGGGATTAATTTGGGGATTTTAAAATGCTACAATTATCTTTCAACTTTAATCTTACTGGGATGCGACTTTGTATCACGTACCAATTAAAAGTGATTCTGTGGCCTGTAAATAAATTTATATATCAGTGACATTTTATGCATTGCTAGGAATAATTAAACACATTGTTGGTTTAAAAAAATTAATTATTTAATATTTTGAAGCATCGAAATTGTTGTTCGGTTTTGAGTTTAATTATTCTTAATCACGATCAATATTCTGGATATAGGGAAATATAGTGGGGAATATAATGGCATCACATAGAATATTAGGAGCACGCTTGCGTCGTGGCTGAATCAAATACTATGACAGAATGTGGCATTATAAAGCAATTACTAAATAGTCACCTTCAACGCAGACAAAGACCGATTGTGGCACGATTAATCCTTGCCTGTTTGTGTCAAGAGTAACCGCGATAATGTAAGCAGTGCACGTACAATAATCGTTAACGTGTCACTGCGAAAGGAAACGTTCTAAATTAAAGCGGAGTAACCACGGCGCGAGATCGATGAAATGGACAAATGTTTATTTATACACTTGAGAAGTTTAATTATTTACAGAATTATTTCGAAACCTACAAAGTTTTCACTTTCCCAATTTTTCTCGATCCAACGTGAAATCAATTGTTTCAATTTTCAATAATTTATTAAAAATATAATTACCGCTTATTAAAAATAAACTTTCTTCTTTTCTCGTGCTTTATACGAAAAAAATACTCCTGTATTAATAATCACATCCTTTTAAATTTTGTTCTAAAAGTAAAAAATAACTGTTGGTAAAAAAGGGTAAGCTGATAAGTCAGAGCAAAAGAATAATTACCGAGGCTAGAAATAAATTGGGAATGTCGCTTCAATTTTCGACCCGGCAATCCCCGGTTATTCCCCTTAACTCGCAAAAAGGGAAAAAGGAAAATGGAAAAATGCCCGAAGGCGAATTGAGAAACGTCGAACGAATGCCATTTTCGTGGCGTTTTATGAACAGGAAAGTGTTCCATTCCCGCGAAATAGAAACGCGCGAAAAACAACGGAGCAGAAGGAAGCCGTTCGATCGGTTCCCTGAAAATTGATTCGCTCCCGTTCTTTGCGTCGCGACGCGTCCGGAAGCAGATTTTTAAAGCGAAATAAAGCAGTCGTTTGAGGCAGCTGGAAGGCCAACTTCGTCCAAAAGTCAACACGCAAACGTTTGCTCGGCTAAGTCCACTATCGGCTCTTTCCGCGAACGTAATATTGAATCAACAGAAGTATTTAACATTCGCGTTGTCGTCCAACGATACAAAGTTGATTTGTCGTATTGATGCCGCCGCGACAGCGACAGGACGAAGATTCTCCATCTTTTTAGCGCCTCGTTGTAAGAATTAGTGTCTCGAGTCACCAGAGTATCGACGTTTCGTGTTTATGCTAAAGAATCTTCTGGTAAAATGACAACTTTTTTTTCTCAGAAACCATGTTACTTCGATTTACACACTCTGCTTCCGAATTAAGAGAAGCTTTTGTCCAAACGTTACTTTTTCGTAGTGTAAAATTATTTCTTACGGTTTTGTACATATCTCATTTTATTTTGAACAACTCTCAAAGTTCTGATCTATTTAACTCCTAATAGATTACAATTTAGAAATAAAAATGTATACCCACCTATGTGTCCTGTTTTTGCAGCTCCATAGAATATTTAAATTTGTTTAATTGGTAATTATATAGTATAGAGGAGGAAATTTATTGTGGAGAACATCGTCCTGGTTAATTTATAACAGGTAATTTATAAAATAAAATATTTAGAAATTTTATTTAGGAAGATGTTCTCTGCTTTACTTATGCTATACAATTTTAATGGGAGATACTTATAAAATTTTAATGGGAGATTCTAGAGGCCAAAATAAGACGAAAATCAAGGATACTAATTTGTTGATTCAGGCTTGGTTAAAAAGTTATAGAAATATTTCCGGCCGCACAGTATATTTTCGGTAAAGAATTTTTTTCTCGAAAGTGTGTAGGATTTCGGGGGTATGTCCATTAACCAAACATGATTGTAATTGATCCTCGCAACCGAAAATAATTTTCTCAGAACGATTTGAAATTTTTTAATTTTGTCGAAAAATTTCACAGCTTCTTGAATTTTTTTCTCGAAAGTGTGTAGGATTTCGGGGGTATGTTTATTCACAAAAAATGATTGTAATTGACCCTCGCAACCGAAAATAATTTTTCCAGAACGATATGAAATTTTTTAATTTTGTCGAAAAATTTCACAGCTTCTTGAATTTTTTTCTCGAAAGTGTGTAGGATTTCGGGGGTATGTTTATTCACCAAAAATGATAGTAATTGATCCTCGCAACCAAAAATAATTTTCTCAGAACGATTTGAAATTTTTTAATTTTGTCGAAAAATTGCACACCTTCCTGAATTTTTTTCTCGAAAGTGTGTAGGAATTCGGGGGTATATCTATTGACCAAAAATGATAGTAATTGACCCCTGCAACCGAAAATAATTTTTCCAGAACGATTTGAAATTTTTTAATTTTGTCGAAAAATTTCACATCTTCCTGAATTTTTTTCTCGCAAGTGTGTAAGATTTCGGAGGTATGTCTATTCACCAAAAATGATAGTAATTGACCCCTGCAACCGAAAATAATTTTTTCAGAACAATATGAAATTTTTTAATTTTGTCGAAAAATTTCACAGCTTCTTGAATTTTTTTCTCGAAAGTGTGTAGGATTTCGGGGGTATGTTTATTCACAAAAAATGATAGTAATTGACCCCTGCAACCGAAAATAATTTTTCCAGAACGATTTGAAATTTTTTAATAACTTTTTAACGAAGCCTCAATCAACAAATTGATATTTTTGATTTTCGTCTTATTTTGGCTTCTAGAATCTCCCATTAAAATTTTTCCCAAGGACGGTCGAACACCCTGTATAATCGTTCCTTCGACTTACCGTATATTTTTTAACGCGTCAAGAAGACGATGACAAATCTAGCAACACACAATAAGCTTCTTTATTATAGTAAACGAGATACTGTTCTTCATTCGCCCACTTTACTTTTCATATATGCAGGCAATAATATACCGTGCTCGTTGTAATAATTATTTCCTTGCAGTGCATATAATATTCATATAAGTCACAATTATTAATACATCGATTGTTACATGGCGTAAGTCACTCTCTACAAGAAAATAATATCACAATACAGTACGACAGTGGCACTCGATTGTTACATTACTATTAGTTAACTATCGAAAGAAATATATTTCTCCTTCTGAAACATAATATCACAATTACTATTCTTTCACGTTATTTTCTTAAAATAAACTTATGTCCTTCATTTTTAATAAAATATCGTGAGAAAGTCTATTTTTTACAAAAATTAGGAAAAGTGTAAGTGAAAAATTAATTCAATAAGGGGGCTCGATTAGTATATCTTTTCTGGTTTCTAATCGCAATAAGTACATCGATTGTCCAGAAAATTGACAACTTGTGTTTAAGTTATAAAAGTACTCTGTTCGGAGGGTAGAAAAATCGTATCGTATACTACGGACGGTTAACATTGCACTTATCGACTACAGAAATGTACAATTCACGAGACTCGAATCCCTATCGTTTCGGTTTAGGGCAAAATGAGGGTTAGAGGCAATTATGCTCTTAATTGTGCCCACGAAAGGAATTATACCGTGATAACGCTTACTCTAGATTCAGTCTAGAACGGAGGAAAGCGTTCGTTGCGTCATAAAAGCGACATCTTGGCGGCCTTCTGGTTTGCAAGGAGATCCTCGACTAACCTCGCCAGAAGCTCTTCTCCATGACGAACCGTACCAGCAACGATAGCACCATCAGGAAAATGATCACGGCCGCCGCGACAAGAATAGCGCCGTATCCTGTAAACGAGTTGTTTCACTGTTTACAATCCAAACTCCAAGCACATATTTTACTTTTTAATTGCAATTCATGCGTCACTAGCAAAGCATACATAACGATTCCATCATCTCTGACGAACTATCATTTTCTGTTTGAACATAATATAATTTGTCTCTCAACTAAACAATCGCACTCGAAATTTGGATCCTTCTAAGAAGTAAAGTTAAGACTAATTTAGTGAGTCACAGCGAAAAGAATGACGTTAGTTTTCCCAGAATAATAGATGACGAATGTAATTTTTAAGTGAAACGAAATGAGTAAGGACACGAAGGATAGAAGGTGAGAATTTCTAAAAAAAAAGAAGAAAGAAAAGAATTGTGTTAACGTGAAACGAACCGGAAGGGTTTGCAGTCGTATTACGTTCACTGATTCCAATGAAAAATTTATGGTAATGAATTTTCCGCCCGTCGAATTACGCCTGGTGAAAACTGAGCGTTAAAGATCTCGTTATCCTCCGGTGCACGCGCTCCAAACGATGGAAAATTTTGTAAAACGCGCCGCTCTGCGTCGGGACTATGCATTTCCCTGCACTTTGCATTCAAACCAATTTATTCCGTGTTGTCGCCGTTAGTGTGCTGCGTTTCCAAGAACGAAACCTGAACGCGCGTCCGTCGATTCTGCGAATCGCAAAACGAATAAACATTTCGACAAAACGCGCGAATGTACTTTTCGATGCAATTAAAAATAATTACTGCACGGTGATAGCGAGGTGATTACAGGAATAATGGTTTTGAAAAGGATGTTTCGAAAAAAAGACGGGAATATAAAGCATGTACTTTTGGGCGAAATTAAAAAATCATTGCGACGTAAACAATTTTTGCAGATTATTCCTTTGAGCTGAAGAATATTGAGAAGAGAAGTGAATTGTGCATAAAATGCAACGTTATCTTGGGTCTAGACTTTAAATAACCTTTTATGAAATCCACTTGGCAGTCAACGCGCCGTCCCGTTCGTTTCTAAGCGCAACTTAGAATAACCCTCGAACAACAATCGCGAGATGATCACCCGGCCTATTCGCGAGCTACGCAGACAGCATCGTCGCCATGGGCGACGTCCTCGAGGCGGAAGATGAAAAGATCCGAGGAAATCTAAATCTACGAACGCCACGGTCGGACGTTAATTACATTCATCGAGAGAAAGGACAAGTTGAGTCATGGCTCAGCCGGCTCGAATAAGCAACTATCGTACTTGTCTTGTCAGTAGACTTCAAATAGAATTACGAAACTCGACAACATTGGCTGCGCTCCGCTCTCGAGGGCCGGTTAGGTAAATTATTTTTCCAATAAAACCAGAGTCGAAGCTCGGTTCTTTCGTTAAGGGGCAAGTGGTCACGTTGCGAGACTCTTCACGGTAAATTTTCACCCGCCAGCGAGATGCTGAACCCGTGGCGTAAACAAGGACGAGTTTGTTGCTTCCTGAGAAAATCGAGCTAAGCACGCCAGGAAGGCGAGGACGTGACCCGTCCAGGGGACAGTAAAGAGATTTTGTATTCAGATTTTCTTTCGGTAATTTAAAAAATTCACGTAGACTAAGGATGAATATTGAGCAAATATTCCCCGGTTGTAAGGGATAGTTCAAATTACGAATCATTACTGTACTCTCAATCGAGGTCTCATTAGTTGGAAGGGATAGAAATGTTCGACTTACTAATCGCATCTGGAGGTTCATTTTACGAATCATTGCTGCACTTTCGATCCAGGACTTATTAGTTGGAAGAGATAGGGATATTCAACTTTAGAATTACGTATGAGGTTCATTTTATAAATCTACCGTACTGTTGATCGAGGACTCATTAGTTGGAAGGGATAGAAATGTTCGACTTACTAATCGCATCCGGAGGTTTATTTTACGAATCATTACTGTACTGTCGATCTAGAACTTATTAGTTGGAAGAGATAAGGATATTCAACTTTCGAATCACGTACGAAAAACTACCGTACTCTCGATCGAGGACTCATTAGTTGGAAGGGATAGAAATGATCGACTTACTAATCGCATCTGGAGGTTCATTTTACGAATCATCACCGTACTCTCGATCCACGAGACTACTTACTGCGAGTTCTTCTGTGGCTGTCCTTGCACTCGGAGATGTTATCCGTTAGGGGCACGCCGCTGTGCGCGAACAGAGATCTGTGGGAGCCGAATTTGAACAGCCTGTGGGACATTAAAGGCATCGAGATTGACGTGTGCTGACCGTCCTGTCCCTCGGGATGGAAAGCCGAGCCTGACGTCAGGGTCGTTTGGAATGGCGCCAACGGGGTAGCCTCTGCTCTGCAGGTCGTCGCGGTGCACGCGGAATACGGAATCCCGGAAAAGTCGAACAGCCAGCCGACGTGATTTGGCGGCGCGATCGCCGTGTAAGGCGGTGGATCGTCGTCGTTCCCATCCGCGACGTTCACAGCGACCAACGGCACCGTGGTCGAACCGTTCGACGAATCTCGCGTCGTATTGGTCTCGCTGACCGGCCTCGAAGGACTCTCCTCCAGCAATTTCGGGGGCGGCAACATGTTTCGATCTATTAAGGATCTCGATCAGGGTTGGAATTACGTGTTCCTAGCGTGGAACGCCCGAGGATTCATTCTTTCAAGATTGCACCTTTATTTCCGCCTTTCGTGTCCTCGTCTGCAAATGGAGATCATTAACGATTGGATTATAACGTGTGATAAATTTGATCGTAATAGATCTCGTTCAAATTTCATGAAACGTGTTCCTTACGATGTTACTCCAAGTATTGCTCAATAAAATTCGCCCAACTCTGTTATAATGTTTTATGGTTTCTCCGAAGAACGAATTCAAAGAAGTCTGATATAATGAAAATAAACGGAACACGCATTCCGCTACGCAACAAGTTTATAATGATGTAATGTGTGAAGTGTTGCTCGTTGCATAAGTTTAAAGATCAACACATTCACTTTCACGATGGAACAAAAAACGGGAGACATTGGTCTACAGAAATGGTCGTATCCTTCGTAACAACGCGCGGTCACATATCTCGTGTTTGACACTGCAAGGTACTGGTGACCTCGAAATAAAAATTCTACCACGTTCGGCGTATGTACACCTTAAATGCATCTTTCGTCGTCTACCGCTTACACAATTTTCTGTAAGAGACTCTCTCGATCGAGGTGCTGCAAGGAATGTTGGAACGATGGCATTTAGACGAGCAAACTTCGACGAGTTGTATCTTATCGGTGAAAGTGTTTTGATAAATGCAGAGGAATTTTATCGCGGGTACGTGACCTACACGGAACATACTGCAAACAATTTATCCTCTCGTTACCTGTAATTTTTCAAAGATCAATTTAATATGATGCTTGTTTCGTACGTACGTGACATATTTAAATCAAACAAGTGAATTGATTGTAAGTTTCTGAATATGTTATTTCGAACAAATGAAAGGCTATTTTATATTTCTTATGTTATTAATAATTTGCTTTGAAACACTAAAAGTTGGGGGAAGAAGTATAAACGAAGAATGAAAATGGCTATGTCAGAGAAGGAAAGGAGAATAATTTCACGTAAAATTTCAAACTTGACAGTTCGTGTTAAAAAAAAAATTAAACGCGAAATTGAAACAACGGCATCAGCTTCGATCATAAAGCGGTTAACAAAAACATACAATATATAAAACATTGAAAAATTCAATGGAAATGCGTGTAACAAGCACGTCATGTTGAAATTGGCGTCGAATTTGAACGACCACGCGTGATTTGAAATTTCAAGTACAGATGACTGATCACTGGAATAAAGTGATTTTTTTCGGACAAAAAATCTTGAATTTCGATCAACCGATTGGGTAGTATTATGATTATAAAAAAAAAACATATAAAATCTTGTAAAATGTTACTTGTTTGTCAACGATATCAGTTTAATTTTTAGTGCAAAAAATTTATCTGCAATACAACGTATAAACTAATCTTGATAAATTATATGAATGGTCAACAAAAAATAGTTTCATATTTACAGATAATAAAACAGAATTTACGGAATTTAACAAATACAACTGTTACAGGGGAGGAAACAATGCATTCTCAATGGATTTAAAATAAAAAAATTGTACAAAATAAATACGTAAGTAGATAACTATGCGTGGGTGTTCATTCGTTAAATTCATATAAGACTTACGCTGAAAGTTAAAAGTACAGCTAACGGTCGCTAATGGCTTTTAAACTGAGGTAACATTAAATAAAAAAAAAAGTACATCTTTTCAGCAAACTCTCATTTGTTGGCTTCTACGAGACAGAATGTAATTTTCTACCTTGGAGTAGACCGCGAAGTAATTAAAGAAGGGAAACAAGATTCAGGAAAGTGTTTAAATATTCTTGAAAATGCAAAAGAAAATTGACCAGATTATAGGACAACAAAGTTACGATTTTAACCATGATAATAAAAAATTAAACTGAAGTTACCTGTGCGTTTTAAGTAGATATTTTCATTAAAACACTTTATTTTCTACGAATTCACCCTAAACGAATTATATGTAGACATCGAAAAACTTTATTGAGGCGAACAATACTATTTCCAACCTACGCTTTCAACACGATTACACTTGATTTTACTTGCAAATATAAAACAATTAGAGAAACGATCAACAGTTATTATAAGTACATCCATACATTACTATAGAACATGATTTGCATAGCAAAGGAGCAAACACGTTCGTTAGTATGGGCGACAGGCTCGACTCACAAAAATGGCAGTGCTCGCGAAATTCTTTCTACATCGAGAATCTTTGTTCACGTTCACAGATAAGACATTTTTTCCTCTCGTTGAACTGTAAACAAGGATCTCAATAAATATTAAATTATTCAAGCAGACAAGGATAAGAGAAACATCTTGACAGTTTTTAAGTCGCTGCGAATAAATAATGAATTCTTTTTGTCACTTTTGACCATCCAAATTGAAAAATATTGAGTATATTTTCTTCGCAAGAAAAATTTAAATTTTAATATCCACAAGAAAATTAATTATCCACAATTCTTGAATTTTGTTCGACTCTTTGAATATTTTTTAAAATGTTCAGAATTTAAATGGAATTTTAAAATATGGGAATTCCGTTCACGACGAGCGCTGAATTTTCAAACCGCAGCACCGAAACGATTATTATCCGTCGAGTTAAATTTAACCACAAGTTTCCATAAATACGTGTACTTGGAAAACATTGCACGATGAATCATTGCTGAAAACTACGAGAAGTGATCGAATATTATGATGTTCCGCTGAAGATCGTTCATATTTAATTAAGTTCACGGTCACTCGAGGACAGAAACATCCTATTCTACGTGTATAACGAAACTTGTATTTCGTCGAAAGCCATTCGAGTATTTCGTACTGGCTTCGTGCTTGTTTAACTTACGTAATTCGTCTATGGAACTACTTTACACGCTTCAATGTCAAGGACACTCGAACGAATTCGAAGGAATCGAATTAGCTATCGTGGAGGTAGCTACTTTCATCTCTGAAGGACAGCCCCATTCGTTCCACGTATTAATACACTTCCAAGTTTCCAATTTACAATTTTCCAATTCCTATCATCACGAGGCACTTTGAAAAATATAAAATGTCGATAAAAACAATTTTAAATAGAATATAACAATTTTTTATATTGCAATTTCGGATAGTTGGAAAATGCAGGGTACGTATAGCCAATGGAATAAGTATAGCAATCATGTGAAAATAGCAAACTACCCTTTTTGGTATCACAGAACTTCAAAGGCCTTAGCTATCTGTAAACAAAAACGTAAAAATAAACCTAACTCGAGTTGAATAAAGATTGTCGCAAACAGATTGCAATCCCGGTTAGGAAAGCCCCGGTTAGCTACACCCAACAAGGATATCGCTTAACCGACCACTCGAAACTGATTTAAGTAGTTCGCTATATTTGTTTCAACAACTATACTTGAGCGTCAAAGCGCGCTGCAAAACATCAGCAAAGTATTTAAAGAAGTGAAACGCACTATCGTGCTACACTTTTTCATTCCGGTCACGTCCTGCAAGTATTTGCACACTACAGTTTCACGTTTATACTCCCACACTCGAACCTTCCAAACGGAATCGGTTAACAAACACGAACATTGCAGCAGCGAGTAATCCGGCGAGTTAACTGCTCTGCAATTTAAAGAAACATCTTGCGAACTTAAATCGCTCAAATTTACTGACACTGCAACTCGAGGTAGAAGAAACTACAAATCATTGCAGTATAAATATTCAATCTTACACTGCTATTGATATTTATTCTACTTTCATCGTTATTGCAAGACTATATATGAACTATTTCTTAACAACACTAACACACCTGATCTCCCAGGTACGATTACCACAAATTCAAGCAATTGTCTCAATTGCACTCGATAACCATCGTAAAATCGAAAACAGTTTCTAGACTCGTCTAAGGACTCACCAATTGGTGTTTTTCCCCCAAAACCTCGTATCCAAGTATATCGTCCAAGGCTGAAGACGTTCACGATGCACTTATGAACTTCCGAACATTCTGTTTTACGACACTCAAACTGTGTTGACGATGTGTAGCACTAGGTGGACGTAGGAGCCTGGCCAGATTGATCTAGAAAGATCGCGATCCTCGCGACGTTAAACTCGAGGCTTGTTCGAGTCCCCTAATCACGGGACACTAACCGGCAGCGTACCGGTTGCCTCTGCGAGCACCTTTCCCTGTATCCCAAGCATTTCTCCGCGGCAAACAGGCGACCAGCGAACCGAGACTCGACGATACACTGTCTGCGTGACCCGAATCGCGACCAGACACGGCGAGTCACGTGTTAACAGCCGTAAGACACGAACGGTTCGCGAAGAGGATCGTGACGGAGCCGCGTCTGTGCGTTGACAGGCGACCAACCTGGCGAGCGATCGCTAGCTAACCTGCCAGACGAATAGCGCGACCATCTTCCACCACCTCTGGGCCAATCCTGCGAGAATGTCGAGGACGTCGGACGCTCAAGGTCGCAGGCACGTTGCCTCTTACAACGATCGAGACACGTATACCTGGGACGCAGGAAGCTTTGGGGTCATTTCGTACCAAAACATTTGTTAGAAAATATTCGAGATTTCGAAGATTCGAAGATCCTCTAGAAAATTTAAATAATTTAGTTACAGACAATATTGATAGAGAAACTATTTTCGAAGTATAAAGTAGCAGATGAGGATTTGGAATTTCTAGTATTACATTCGGCTAGCAAAAATTTAGGAACAAAGAGGTAAAGTGATCGAATCGACGAGAATGGTAAAAGTAACGGACACTGGAATTTTGGAAGCGCTGAATAAAAGATGATAGCTGAAGAGAACGACACAGAAATCATCACAGCATGATAATGAAACGAGGAAACCATTAAGCATCGAGAAAGTATGAATATAGAGTGTGTTGGCAGAATTCAATGAGAAGGACATTATAAACTGCATAATGTTTCGTAACTGTACGAAAGACATCTCAGAAAATTTAGAAGTCAAAGAGAGACGAATGAAATCAGAATAACTATTTACAAGCTGAGATGAAGCAATATATATAATATAATTAATGACTTGAATAATCAGAAAGTAATTCAAGAACAGAGAAATAGTACTCGTGATAAATGCCAACAAGGAAATGGAAATTCTAAAAAATTTTCTTAAGAAAAGGCCCTGAGAGAATGCTCGTTTCTTTCTGCTTGTAATAATTCTATGCAGACGCTGAACTGGACGTTCTAAACCGGAACAAAGCACGTAGAAAAACTCTTTTACTGTTGTTTGTACTCCAAGGTGCCAGGCACGCAATTATATTCTTTCCGTTCAGGAGTACGTATAGTATGTTTAACTTCACTCGCAGTTTTCCCAAACTGAAGGTGTTGTTTGTACCACTTTCAATTGTCTCTTCAATACTTCTCTCTTGAAGTACTCGAATTTTGAAAATGAAACACGTCCTCGATAAAACAAAAATATTTTTTACTTAAGTGAATTCCGATCGCAATATGCTTTCACGCGACGCTCTGATTTAGCCTCGAAAGCGGTTAGGAAACGTCGAATTATGTAATTGTTTTAACACGTCAGCGAGATTGAACACACGTTACGTTCGAGCATTAATTCATCATTCTTGCAGGAAACAGGTCGAGGTCATTTTTCATAATAATTGATAAAAATTTTACACGTGCTCAAAATTCTTGCTCTATAAAATCAGAAATGGTTGTTACTGGTTTTCAAGATAAATTGCAAATGAAAAGTAATAATAGGTGGCAATTGTGTCTAACGACCATTTTAAAACCTCCAGTCGTCTGCCGGAGATTTCCATTCTTAAGAGAGAAAATCCAGAGATCAGAAGGAAGTGAAACTAAAGAACAGGATGTCGGACACTTACGCCTATAGAATTGCGCTGTTTAAGCTGCCTCTTCTTTCGCGTATCCTTGGGAACTGTAGAATCACTGTGTAGACCGCATAGATCGTCGACTGCCCCACTTCTTCGAACGGATCTATCGCGGAACGGAGGTTGTTGAACTCGAAACAGAAACCGAACTACGCGGAACGTCTACAGATTTTTCTCGAGAATCAACGACGTAACGCGATTTTTCGCTGTCGAACGCAACGCACCGTGCCAAGCCGTCTCCGTTTATAAAATGCAACGCGTTTACGGCGTGTTGCGTGCACCGAATGGCTCATTATCGTTCGCGGTAACGTCGTTTGAGAAACACCAAGCACGTCTCGTGTTGACCGTTTTAATTTTCAACGCAATTCGAGTGGCGGGGCGAATCGGAGAGCCCAGAATTTAGCACGATATAGTGTTCAAAGTGCTCTCAAAATCCACGTGTTGGCGTCGCGACACCTAAAAAATTCGTGTCCCTCGCGAGAACAGCATGGACGTCAATGCAACGAACGTAGAAACCCTCACCGAAACTGTTCATCCATTTTTGTTGTCGAAACAACGGAATTTGCGTTCGCAGTTAAAATTTTTATCGTAATAAATATGAATTAGTGATGATTTCCAGTGGTATTCAGTACGGCAAATCATACTCGATGAAAAACGAGTTCGTCGTATTTGTTTTCAACCGTGTTTTCTAAAAAAGAATTAAGTAGATAGTGCTACATTTCTTCCGGTCAACAGTTTTGCAACTCTCGGTAATGCCAATCCTTTTGGTCGTCATTGTATTCTCGCGGAAGTCGGATTAGCGCGTTTGCGGTCTGATGGACATGCTGCGATACTCGAAAGGTCAAAGTTGAACGGCTAGTTGAGCGGCGACAAGGCGGAAGACTGTGTCTTCCTGCTGGCTGCGTTCTCCTGCTTCAACGCGAACTTCTTCGAAGACATTCGTGGCGCCAGGAGGCGAAGAATTTTATCTAGGTAAAGTAAGTCATATTGTACGTGACAAAGAAGAGTTAACAAGTTCACCGTCTTCTCTTCGTATTATTCCACTGTTAGAAACTGGAATTCGAGCGTAGTACAGTCTTGAAGCTGACTTAATTACCAACAATCAATTACTTGGTTCTGGACAAATTCATAGACTTTATTATATTGTAAACCTCCTACACGTTTCTTACGAACTCTTTCCATTTATTTTTATCAAATTTATTTATGTAAACCGATGCGTCAAGAGGGAAGCGATCCAATATTTTCCGGAGCCCAACGGCGCCATTACGAGGTGCGGCGCAAAATGAAGCCCGTTGCCTGGTGTACGCGGTATTATTAAAACAATGATTGCGCAGTGAACCCTTGGTCTGGTAGCGCTGGATCCGAGGCGATTTCTCACTTTTACTGCTGCTGCGTGATAGCCTGCACCTTAGCGTTACGTGGCGGCCAGGAGAGAAGGGAAACGCACTCGCAAAATCGTCGGTCATAAAGGTAGGTTACTGCTGGATCTATGAGGCTGCAACGCTTCCGCGTAAAACCACTCTCGCGCTTTCCGCGCGTACCTCTGCTTTTGCGTCTTACGTGCGTGCCGCGAAGACGATTTCCATCCGCCTCGTCAACGACGACACGCAACGTTTAATCATCTCCCTAGGTATTTACTTCCACTTCGCGAGAAGAATGTTGTCAGTGCGTGCGAAGGAACGTACTTACGTAAACGCGACAAACATTCTTGATCGGGACTCTTTTTTCGAGCAGATGCCGAATAATAACAGATTATTACGAAGTTATTAAGGAGAAAATTATTTACATCATTAAAACATTCTGTATAAACCGAGAAATTATCAAATTTTCAAAAGTCACCAATAGATGACCTACTTATGCATCTAATAGAGTACGTGTACTTGAACGCAAGTGGAATACGGATCGTCGTCGTTATTTTTTTCTTCACGTTCGACGACAGCGGACTAATTTACCGTTTCGAACGGTCCCGGATGTTAATGGCGTTTGGGGATTCCAGTATCGGGTCCATTGCAACTTGTTCGACGCGGGAGTTGCGTAAGATGTTACGTAACGTGTTACAAAATGAAGGTGGAAGTCGTCGGGCAGGCAATCGCGTTGCTTCTTATTTGCCCGATCGTAACGAGTGAAAGATCATTGTTACGTGTCGTTGCATGCGTTTTTACGAACCGCAAATCGTCGTCTTCGACAAGAGCGTAACAGACAGCTATTCAAATAGTGTATCTAATTTGCGGAGAGCCTGGAAACCGTGATGGACTTTTAAGTTTCTTCCACGTGGAAATGGAGAAAGTTGGCAGGAAACACAGTCAAGTGGCAGATAGAGTTAATTTGTCTGTAACGTTAGTTTCTACTGAAATGCAACGAAATTATAGATCCCTTACGCAATAAACTGATGTTTCCCTTATCTCACGTGAAAAGTCTAAGGTATAATTTTCTGTTGCAAGTCTATTTTTATTCCTATTTCTTGCACTTTCTTGGAAGACTTGAAAGCAGTCGATGAAGATTTTTTGAGATGATTTCCTAACTTATGCAACGCCGTTGTACGCTGCAGAAATCAACTCTAATTTGCTGAAATCGAGTCGTTGGTAATGATGCTATTGTCATTGATAGTACTTGTTAGAGAAGACTAATATTTTTCATTTTATAAAATTGCAATTAATAACAACCCTACGATAATTGTGATTCTTCCGTGAAAAAATGAAGGCCACCACCTTAACGGGACTAAAAGGTTTATTCGCGAAACGAGCAATATCCATCGAAACAACGAGATCTGTTCCATGCCGCTCGCAGATTAGATTCCGCTCGACGGATGGCAACGCGTTGCACCTTAAAGGCGGGGTAATTCGACGCCGCTGGGCAAGTTTGGGCGATGGAAAACTCGTCGACGACGGCGTAGGCGGATGGGGGGTAGCGCAGACGCGTGGTTGCTTCGGGGCCCCGTTAACTACGAGGGAACGGAAGCAAGAGGATCGTCTTTGTATTCGTGGAAATCGTAAGATTGGTATCGCGTCCCTCCCTCCGGTGTTGCGTCTCACCGGTGGCGTCGTCGTCGTCGTCATTGTCGTCTTTTATTTCAAGGGAAATTAACGACGACCGGCGAGTAATTGTCGGGCGTTAAGCCGCCGCGGAACGTAATTACGCGGGGACAAAGCGACGGCAGGAGTAAATACGGAAACGCGGACCAGGGGAAAACGAATTTGTCACGGTGGTTTCGGGGTGGGCGACGGAACTTCTTCCGAGCCTTCGTCGAACAAGGAGTTCCGCCGCCAAGTTTTCGAACTTTGCCGCCCGCTGTCGGTGATAGGTATGCGATACCGGGCACAACGGACGTTGCATAAATTTAATTGGATGTTTTGTCCGGTCCCGGGTGACGGGATTACGCGTCAGAGGTGATGCTGTACCGAGTACTCTTCGAGGATCTTGATTTTTAATAAATTCGGTTGCATTGTGGCGCATAATGGTGCAGAACTACAGATTTACAGTAGCGAAT